GTGGCAAGCCACACCCATTAGTCAACACAAGCAACAATGTCCTCAGGAAAGAGAAACGCCAAAAAAGGGGAGACAAACAAAACGGTTAGAACCAGGCTAAATGTAAAGCCTGGGCCAGCACAGCCTGCCAACTTGCGAGACAAACCAAGTAAAATGTTGTCATCACTTCCCAAAGGATGGGGATGAGCAACTTGGGCAAAGCTGCCAAAACCAAAGGTAACAGGGCTTCTACACCTGGGACCAAAGCCAGCAAATCCACAGAAAGAACAAATTTGCCTGAACACAAAGTGCAGGAGATGCCTGCTGAACCCCTAACCCCACTTGGGAAAATGCAGTTAGGGAAGGTAAAGGCAGTATGCAGCCAGTGGTTAACTGGGGTGTGTGCAGTGTAGGTTGCAAAACAAAAACCCAAGCCTTTTCCAGCTTCAGAGGAGCAAAGACTTTTTACATTACCTTGGGGGTACACTCCTCAAGATTCAGTCATAAAAAAATAAATAAAATAAACAGACACACCCAACTCACCAGGGAAATAATTCTGACCAGGCTGGGGCAATGCCAATGGTGACTAGGGAAGTTACACTAGTCATATACAGCCAAAGCGAACAGTTGAGTTAAGATCCACACAGAAAGCAAGGCCAGAAAAATCATGCTCATGAAACAACACAAAAAACTGGAACACATACAACACAGGGCCCCCCCCTTACAGGACAGAGTCCAAAAGGAAAGCCAACACTTACCTGAAAATCAGGGATCAGGAAGGGGGTTGTGAGAACATGAAGGAGCTGATGCAAATACTGCACCACCAGGTGCATGACTGAAGTGTCTGGCTGGCTGGCTGGCTGGATCCCCGGTTGCCATCTGGTGGTGGGGAGGTGCAACTAACTAGTGGTGATAACTGGCAAACGAGTATGTGCCTAGTTGACAGCGTTGCTAATTTTTCTCCATGCAGTTGCTTGCCTTGGAACACACTACCTTTCTAGTGGTTTTCCTCTTGGCTTGGGTTGATCTAGTGCTGTATACCCATAATCTCTTCACCTCTATTGAGAGGACCAGACTCTGCTTCTGATCTCTAGCAGGCTTAATGACTCTCGACTCTTAACGACCTGATGGGTGTGGAACCAACCAGGCAGCTAGCTTAGGGAACCACCACGGGAAGCCCTCCCAGAAATTTGACTATAGAGCAAATACCAAATCACTTAATTGAATTCTAGTCTTGTGTCTGCCCAAGAACCAACAAGAAGCCCAGCCACTGTGATTGCAAGGTAGCTCATAAAAACATAAGGATAAAGGAAACTTTAGAAGGCATATTGGCTCATACAAGGTAGTAGGTATTTATATACACAAACTCATATACAGTATATACAGTGATACCTTGGTACCTTAATTTAATTCATTTCAGAAGGCTGTTCAAATGCCAATCTGTTCAAGTACCGAATAATTTTCCCACAAGGAGTAATTTAAATTGGATTAATTCAGCTCAGACCAAACAAAAATACACAAATTCAAGTAACGGCATTTTTACTTGAATTTAACTCAAAGCTTACAAGCCTAGCATGCATAAATCACAGAGAAGACCTAAACACAATAGATGAAATAAATGCAAATTTATTCTCACTTCACCTGTCCTGGTTCTGGTCTTTGGTAAGCCAAACAGAACTATTCACGACTGATGTGTGACCTTTTAGCATGAAGCAATATCGGGAAGATAGCTTCAAGTAGTCACCCTCCAGAAAAAATGTGAGAATAGTAAAACAAGTATAAAAATAGTTAAAAAATGTGGCAACACTTTTGTGAAAAAAATGTCGTTATATATGATATATATATATATTTAGCCATTTTTGTAATAACTATTGGGTTAAACACACAGGCTGCCTGACAGCGGGCAGTCTGTGGAAACCGCCTGACGGTTGAGAGACAGGACCAGAGCCAGAGCTCAACCCCCGCAAGCAAAACTAGGCGAGTCCAAATAGGGAGTACATGCCCCAAAATATCTTGTGTTTATAAATAATTATTTTACAGTGGAACTTCAGTGTATGAATTTAATCAGTTCCAAAAAATTGAATATAACTCAAATATTTGTACACGGATAAAATTTTCCCATGAGAAATAATGTAAGTTGAATTAATCCTTTCCACACCCCGAATATATTAACTTAAAAATACATTTTATCCATAAAACTACTTTACTCAATATTTTTCATACAAAAATAATAAGGAAAATTATGTAAACTGTAAATAAAATAAAGGAACATTTAACTGCATTTTACCTTTATTGAGAACTTGTTGGCATTAAAATATGGTGGATGGAGGGGAGGGGAGGGGAGGGGGAAGAGGAGAGGTGTTAGTATTTAAAAGAGGAGTCCCCTTCCATTACGAGAGACGCATTCAGCACCGCTCCTGTGCCAGACAAGTCCACAACGGGCTCACCATAGCCCGTGCTACTTGCCCCGCTCCTGTGTCAGGTAAATTATGGGCTCACCATAGCCCGTGCTACTTGCCCCGCTCCTGTGCCAGGTAAGTTACGAGCTCACCATAGTCCGTGCTACTTGCCCCGCTCCTGTGCCAGGTAAGTTACAAGCTCACCATAGCTCGTGCTACTTGGAATTTGTTCCAAGTAGCTGAATCTATAACAACAACAACTTCCATTACAACTTGAGGCAGTAATGACGTTGCTGGAGTACACACTTGCCTACATTTTGTAGGCATACCAATAGGACCTGGTTGTAGCTCACTTGCTTGTTTCTCTCACTGAGAATCTGTCTAAAGACTTGTTTCTGCCTATGTTATAACAACTCTCTGGAGTGAGACATCACATTGTTATTATAAAGATTAACACAACAGTTTGCTTTAGTTGTATCTCGGTGAGTCTTTTCAGCAAAACATTGCAGTTCTTCCCATACTGCATACATTTTCCTAGTCACATCAACCACGCTTGATCCCTAATAATCATTACTCCCAGACTTTGTAATTAACTATTGTCCAGATGATATCTGGTAACTATTATCATTAGCTAAGCTCAAAATCCTAAATTTTTGAGCATTAAACTAAATCTGCTAAACTTGCTTCCTTTTAAATACTGTACCTGCTTAAATATCTGCTCTTCATCTTGCAGCAATTTTGAGTCTTCATCTTTCTTTACTTCCCGCCCTATTTTTTTTTACTGTCTGAAAATCTATAAAGGTTACTGCACTATAAATCTACATCATTTATATACAATACAGTATATGGTAAACAGCAGAAGTCCCAGGATAGAGCCTTAGAGCACTTCATTTTCAGCTGTTTCTCACTCGGACTAAATCCATTTATGCTACCTCTGATTTCTTTAAAATAACCAAGCTTTAATCCAATGTAGCATAACACCCTCAATAGCATGTGCTTCTAACATTGTTTACGTCATGTTACAAAAATGTTGCAATCCCTTCCACCATCAACTGCTTGATATATACTGGATACGGATGACAGTACTGTATTGTAAATTTCTTGAACACGAAGGACCCCCTTAGTAAAACCCATGCTGTGAATCTTTTATTAATCCATATTTTTCAAGATGCAAATGAACTGCTTTTGTGATTAACAATTTAAGCAATTTTCCTACATAGACATTAAAGCTAATTGGACAATGGTCTGGCAAAAGTGAGCTATCCCCCTTCCCGTAACAATTGGCATCACATTTGCAGCCCTCCACAGCTCGGTACGCTGCTCAATTTGGAGGACCCTGTGTTTATATCAGGTGCTGTTGTCTTATGGAAGTCAGGCACAGGAGATGAGTGAGAACACCAGCAGTTTGTGTCAATGTTGATTATCAAATCAGCCGATTTGATTTGATCATGAATGCTGATTATCAAATATCTAATGCAATAGCATTAGATATTGAGACTAATAATATCAAGCAATCTTTGTTCTCAGGGTAAAATTGTTTTTGTTGGTCAAGTAAATGTAAGAAAAAATATAAACCTTTTATAGCAATACAATGTTCAGGCAATAAATATTACTACATTCCTAGGATAATGAAAAAAAAATATTACAAAGACTGCATTATAATGAGTATTAAACTAATGTGAACACATTATACAATAAGACTTTAGTTGCATGACCTTCATTCCACTAATTGGGAAAAAATACTGTACTGAAAACTTTAAATGAAAGATTTATATTATTTGGCTTTATAATTTAACACCGGAATTTTTAAGGCTTAATGTGTGTAAAACACTGAATAACATTTCTTTGTTTACAATTAAATAAAAATTACATTTCTGAAACACATTTAGGGCCTCAAAAAATAAAATATTTAAAACACTACGAGGTGAAGCAACATGTATAAGTTGTGATATAAAAATAATTGCATTACAGTTACAGCAGCTATGGATTTCATAAATTTCTGCCAGTTAATTTAAAAGCAAGTTTTAGCAATAGTGGAAATTTTGTCAAATATTTTGTTGGCAATTTAATCCAATAAATATTGAATAGCTGAAGTAAGGTAATAAAATGAGTAGCGGCATATATATATAAAGAGCTTAATGGGCAGTTTAGGCATTCATTATTATAAACACCCATTCAAGACCATACTAAATCCTTTTACCAATTAACTCGAGCCAATTGACAACTTGTCCCATTCTTGACATTGAGTCTTACACAATTTATAACATTTAATAAAATTTACATAATATTTTTATCTCAACATACATGTTACCTACATATTTAATTTGTTTAAATGAACTAAATTAAGTAATGCACTACAGATTCTTTCATTACAATAATACCAACAAAGTATTGCACAACATAACTCTCCATATTTAACCGTCAACTAAAGGAAAATTAAGCAAACCAATCGTCTAAAACGGCATGAGCATGTCCATAATTAATGCCTCAAACATTCAGATAAATAGCAATAACATAAAATTGAAAACATATCAAGGGTAGGCGTTTAAAATGGGAAACTTCCTTTAAGACACTTTCGAGGAAGTAAACACAAGTAGGAAGAGATTGATAAAAAGAGTTTACCCATGAGAGACCGGGAGTCTGGGTTCAGCATCTTCCGAATGTCCTGATTTCTGCGAGCTATATGGGGAGGTGAAGTAATTATTGAACCATCCATCAAGAAGAACAAAAATGCCTTTGCATGCATAAATTTATTAACTTGTATACAACACGTTATAATGCATTTTCAATTTCATTTCAACACAAGAATGATTACAAGTTTATAAGTCACCTAATTACAAAAAGAAGTCACCCTCAGGTAAGACAAAATACAAATGCTTTAGGCATTCTTATAAATACTAAAACCTTCCTTATTTTCTTGCATGATGAGTATTAGATAGGCTTAAATATGGCATACAGTACATATGATATTTTGTACATGACAGTCTTTTGTCATGACACAACTAATAATAATGTTGATGCTGCTACTGATTAATTATGATGCCACCATTCTGAATGAAAGAATGTCTACAAGAGAATTTGAGAACTGTGAAATTATGGTGTAAAATTAGCACATAAATGTAATAAATTCAAGGATTAACACTTAAGTGCAAGTCAGTGAAAGAAAATAAAAGCCAAGATTTTGAGTCAATAAGAAAAATGTACACATGCAAAATAGGTACAGCATTGGTAGACTGATTGGTGCATGGATGGATGGCGAGAGTTAGGCTGAAGTCAAAAGCTGGAACCTAACTATTAGCATAATCTACCTTCTGAGCAACCCCCTCCCCTGCATGAGAACCATGGGTGTATCTCCACTACACGAGACCTATCTCCACATCAGAAACACTATCTCGCTACATAATGTAACAATAACCGTCATCCCACTATCTCAAACAAGTGTCATAGAAATAACCTTTATTCAATTATTTATATGCGAGTGGTGTGTTGAAGACATACAGTGCTTTTGAACAAATCTACTTGGGAGTGGGGAAACCTGGAAGGAGTGGGAGAATCAAGGAGCTACCGGGGCTAATGCAGAAAGAAGTATTTCATTAATTTAATGCTGGGTTTCTGAAGGGAGCCCCGCACTCCTCCTCCTGGTGGCTCCCTGAAGCTAACCAACCACAGAGCAAATATGGGACTTACCAAGGAGACAGCACAGGCTGTAGGACAAAGAACAGAACCCAGGCAAGAAGAGACAGCCCAAAGCAACACACGACTGACTTGGACCAGGAACACTTACTTAATACCAGGCCGTCAGAATCCTGTTAGAAAGTCAAACTGCCCCCCCCCTCCCCAAGCCCAAATATCAGGCCAGGACATGTTGGAGAAGACAGCAGACTAAACTGCATATTTGCAGATATCATGGGGTCCAAAGGTACACGGCAGGCTGGCCAGACTTGATAACACTGCGGATGACCTGAGAAATGCTACTCTTGGAAAAAGGAACCAAGGAAACAGAGTCAACCAACAAAGTGTGCACAATGGCAGAACCAGTAGCATGCAAGTAGCAGCAAAGAGCTGCCATCGGACACAACAAATGATGCACCTCTGGGTGGACCAACCAAGTATCAATCGTGAAAGGAAGCCCACCAACTCATTCTTTGCTAGAAAAGAAGGAGAGGGCTGCAAAATGAACAAACCACACACCAGGGCCAAAGGAACAGAATGCCTGCTTCTAGAGAAGAGCCTAAAGCTTTCCATCGTGACTGCTGGAAGCAAGAGGCAACAAAAAGATAGCCTTAATAATGGATAAAATCCAGGTGTTGAAAATTTGGAACAGATTCATGGAGAAAGAAAAGGAAATGTGTGAAACACTAAACAAACAGTTCCAAAGTGTTTATGCAAATTCAAGTCTTCAGACAACCAGACACAATACGAATTTCAGAGAATACCATAGAGTACATATAGGTGTCTTGAGACGAAGTGGAAAAAAAGATTTGAGGAAATAATAGAAACAAGGCAGTGGGCCCAGATGGCATTTCACCTTGGGTTCTGAGAGAATGAGTATCTTCGCTTAGCCTTAAACCATCAAATAGTAGAACCAACTAGAAAACACCCTAGATCTTATTTCTATAATGATGAACTGATTAAAGACATAAGGATTACAAATGCATTTTACCAAGATCATAACCTATTTGAAGTTCAGACATGCATATGGAACAGACGTGTCTTGAATCAAAGTGGAGGAAAATTCAGCATATTCAATTTAAATAAGAAAAGGATTAACTGGGAACAAAGACACCAAAAACCTTGCAGAAATATGCTAGGGAAGACATCTAGATAAGGCAAACTTAAACAGGTGCTTTGAGAAAAAAGGGGCACAGCAGCACTAGAATTATGTGCGAGTCTCGTCCTCATATCAGACAGACAAGGATACAACCTATAACACGATATATAATCCTTTGCAGATGATGGATTTTCGTAAGAGTAGACAATAGAGAAAACGGCAAACCTCTATATGTTATCTGACGTTAATCAAAGCTTTCAATGGGTGACAGAAAATAACATGCCTAATGATGGCCAAGTTACTGTTAGTATGGATAAAACAAATATCAAAACAAAAGGCACATAAAATGCAGTCAAACCACACTATTGAAAGAAAAAGCAACGTAAACAATTTAAGAGCAATCGTGTCGGACTTTACTTTTAAAGAACACCACAAAGTAGCTGTCAGAACTGAAAGTAAAATGACAGATTGGATAACAGGAAACTTTCAAGATAGAGATGCCACACCAGTGATGGTACTTTTTAAGACACTTGTATTCTCTAGTTATTGTTGCACACTAACAGTCCCATTCAAAACTTGAGAAACTGCTGACCTGGAGAGCATGCAAAGATCTTTAACTGCTAGAATCCATTCAATAAAACATCTCAATTACTGAGACTTTAAAAATTTTAAATCTGTATTCTCTAGAGTGCAGGTAGGAGAGAGATGCACTTTAAAAATATTAGAATAGCTGGTTACAAATCTGCACACAGAAATAACACCACATGAGACCAGAAGGCATGGAAGGATGTGGAAAATAGCCTAACTGAAAAGCAAAGGTGCAATAGGCACGCTGAGAGAGAACTCGATTAGCACCAAATTCTGAGGACTTTTCAAAAAAATTTTCCTTACACATTAGGGGCATAACTGGCCGGCCTCTAGCAGTGCTGAAGAGAGAACTCGACAAGCACCTTCAAAGAATACCTGATCAACTAGGCTGTGACTCATACGTCAGGCTGAGAGCAGCTACGTCAAACCCGCCTGGTCAGAGACCGTGTTGTGGAAATGTTAATCCTTGGAATAATTGACTGGTATATGACATATACTCCACTTCAATTGATTCTTCAGTCATCTTTATGTACAGAAGTCTTGGCAGATGTATGGAAAAAGGCAAAATAGTTCCAATATGCAAAAATGGTAACAGGGAAGACCCGCTTAATTATAGACCTGTCACTGACAAACATTGTAATCAAAACATTAAAAAAAATAATCAAAATCAAATGGGCAGAACACCTGGAGGGAAATTATATAACAGACAGACAGTATGGTTTTTGAACAGGAAGATCCTGTGTAACAAATCTCTTAGTTTACAGGAAAATTATTACAGGAGTCATGTAGAGTTTACAGGAGAGAGATGGGTGGGTTGACTGCATTTAACTAGACCTAAAAAAAAAAAAAAAAAAAAACTTCCAAAAAAGTCCCACATAAGAAGTTGTTCTGGAAACTGCAACATACTGAATGGGCGATAGGAAGACTTCTGACATAGATTCTGACATAGATGAATTTTTTTTTGACAGAAAAATAAGGGAAGCAATGAAATGCAATGTATCAGACTGGAGATATATTACCAGTGGAGTATCAGGTTTCAATTCTAGCACCAGTAATGATCATTTGTCTATATACATGATCTGGCAGAAGGAATACAGAATTATATGAACATGTTTGCTGATGATGCTAAGCTACTAAAGAAGATAGGAGACCTAGACGATTGTCATGTTCTTTAAATTAATCTAGATAAAATAGGTGCTTGGAGCACCATGTGGCAAATGGAATTCAATATGAATAAATGCCATGTTATGGAATGTGCTATTGGATAAATTAGACAACACACAAATTATGTGGAAACGAGTTAAAGAACTCTAACAAAGAAAGAAATCTAGGAGTGGTTCAAGATAGTAGACTGTCACCAGAGGAACACATACAGGACATTGTGAGAGGAGCATATGCTGCACTTTCCAACTTCAGAATCACTTTTAATCATACGGATGATGAAATACTAAACCGTTCATGACTTTTGTATGGTGCCCATATTTCAAGAAGCACATCAATAAACTAGAGATGCTAAGGCATGCTACAAAATGGCTTCTGGAACTGAAAAACAAAAATTATTAAGAGAGGCTAGAGTGTTAAATATGCCAAAGCTAGAGGATAGAAGAAAAGGAGGCAATATGATCATCACTTACAAAATAACAACAGGAATTAACCAAACTGACAAAAAAAAAATTCATGACACCAGTAACCTTAAGGACAAGAGTTCATATACTCAAAACAAGGAAATAAAAATGCCCCAAAAATGTTTAAAATTTTCTTTTGCAAACAGAGTGGTAGATGGTTGGAGCAAGTGAGAAAGTGGAGGAGCCAAAATTGTCAGTAGTTTCAGAGCATTATATGATAAGAGTGCTGGGAAGATGGGACACCACAAGCATAGTTCTCGACCATAGGAGGCCTGGTCGAGAACCGGGCCGCGTGGTTGCTAAGCCCCGAAAACACCTCAAGGTAACCTCATCCTGTAACTGAGCTTGGGTAATTACCCAGACTGTGAAGCCATCACTAAGGCATGGAACACCTTGACTACCACTAGCAGTCACTGTAGCTGGAGGATGAGAATCTGGTACAGCAGTTCAAAATGATTCTTACCAAGTTTCAATTTGCTCAGAATTGTTTCCAGGAATTTAAAGGGCTTCTGGGTCTTAGTATGTATTTACCTTGCACTTCAATGAGCTCCTTGCCATTTCATTAGGGAGAAAAGACCAGTTGTAAGGTTACTTGTCCTACTGGAGTTCTGAATTCCTAAGCCAAGCAGTTTCTCAATGCCCCGTGTCTGGTTTTGGTGAAGTTAGCTTGGGGAAGCTCCTGACTGGGGCCTTGCTCAGAAAATCACACTCCACTTACTGTATTAAATCATTTTTAGTCTAGTTTAAGCACAATAAATAAATCATAACAATTCATTATTTCCAGTAATATTTACTACTAAAGGCAAAAATTATAACATGCTGAAAAAATATGATGAGCAAGGCCCGTACTAATGATTTTAGAAAGGGTCCAAATTTTCACCATACATTTTTAGACATTTAAAAAATTGCATTCTAGTAGAGTTTTGAAAAACAAAAATCCAATTGCAAATATATTGTATATACTGTACAGTGTTACTAAATACACATAGCAACTGCATCAACCTTAATAATAATTAACAAGCAAGCAAATAATCCTTACCAGCATCCATGTTGCTTGTCATTCATTTGAGTCATCAACCAGAATATCTCTTTGCACCCATCACATCAGCACCTGAAATGATAAAAGTTAATAAGCATTAACAGATATAACAAATACTGTAGGTAAGTAATTTTAATGCAAAATAAATAATAATACCGTAGTTCATTTGCAATCAAACATTATAAGAATTATGTGTGTGCTTGGCAAACTGAAAAGTGTTGGTAACATCAGTGAGTGCACAGGGGTTAGAAAACACAGACACCAATTGATGAGCAGACCGTAATCATCAGACTGTGCTATCAGCAACTCCCTGGTGAAACATTCACGGGACTGTCAACAAAGTCACTCATGGTTCACTTGAAACTGCGAGCCTGTTCTGAATCATCCTCAACTATGTGGAAATGTCATTTGCTGTGTGAGTTGGTTATTTCCACAAGTGCCCCGTCCTGGGACTCGTGGGTAGATATGGCCACCATGACCCAGTGTTCTCTAAGGAACACAGCAGGGAGCACTGCAGCCCAACCAGAAGGCATAGAAAGACAGTGGATAGATGGGTCAGACTGGAGTCTAAACTTACTCGAATGCAGAATGGTGGTGGTGCCGCTAACCAAGGTGCACAAGCGAGTCACTAAGTAGGCTTACAGTGCAGTGTAAAAATTTACAGTACAGAGTGTAAGAGCTAAGTGCATATTTTAAAAACTGACAGTGTAAAATGTACACACATGCAATGTGGGTTTGTAAAAGGTTGTAAAAAATGTAGTATACAGGTATACAGGGTATCAAATCTTACAATGTATGATGAAAAAGTTTCCAGTGTAGGAGGTGTAAACACTTGGTGGATTTTTAAAACCTTAAAGAGTTGAAAATGCAAATATGTTGTGCAAGGTGAAAAAGCTGACAGTACAAAGTGAAAAAGCTGACAGTCCAAGTTGTAAAAGTTAACTGTGCAAAGTGTAAAAAGCTTACAATGAAGTGTGTAAAAGCTTAACCTATGGAGAACAGGCTAATTCACCTTAAACACTGCAGGCAATCACACCACAAAATCTAGAGTTAGCCATGAGCTGAACATTGTAATAACCCAGGAAAAATAGCAAGATAACCCACACATTAATGACCAGTAATACAAACCTCCAACACATGTCTAACTTTTACAGGTGTTGGTTTACACACTAATAATAATAATGTCGATACTAGCCAAAGGACAATTCCTCCAAGAGACTATTCCATGTTGGAAGGGGCCTGTAAACCCCTCCATGACACTATCCCATGTTGGAAGGGACCTGTAAACTCTTCCATGAGACTATCCCATATTGGAAGGGGCCTGTAAACCCCTCCACGAGACTATCCCATGTTGGAAGGGACCTGTAAACTCTTCCACGAGACTATCCCATATTGGAAGGGACCTGTAAACTCCTCCACGAGACTATCCCATGTTGGAAGGGCCCTGTAAACTCTTTCACAAAACTATCCTATGTTGGAAGGGGCCTGTAAACTCCTCCACGAGACGATCCCATGTTGGAAGGGACCTGTAAACTCTTCCACGAGACTATCCCATATTGGAAGGGACCTGTAAACTCCTCCACGAGACTATCCCATGTTGGAACGGACCTGTAAACTCTTCCACGAGACTATCCCATGTTGGAACGGACCTGTAAACGCTTCCACGAGACTATCCCATGTTGGAAGGGCCCTGTAAACCCTTCCACGAGACTATCCCATGTTGGAAGGGCCCTGTAAACCCTTCCACGAGACTATCCCATGTTGGAAGGGACCTGTAAACCCCTTCACGAGACTATCCCATATTGGAAGGGACCTGTAAACTCCTCCACGAGACTATCCCATATTGGAAGGGACCTGTAAACCCCTTCACAAGACTATCCCATATTGGAAGGGACCTGTAAACTCCTCCACGAGACTATCCCATGTTGGAAGGGACCTGTAAACCAAATATTCGCGGCCCTTGGCCCAAGTCCCCGACGGTGACGGGAACGCCCCCACATAACACAAATCTTATTAATCACCTTTTTCCTTTCACCCTTGACTAGAGCCCGTGGGAACACCGCTATTAAACCCTCGGGGGAGCCTCACTGGCCCTCGGGAGAGCTCCCCAGCCACCTCACTTACCCTCTAAATGGAATATCGGAATTGCTATGACTCGGGGCCGCCCCCATCAGTCATAAAATAGAGAGATCCCGCACCGCATATTGGGTAATTTTGGCCAGTCTTGTGTACATGTAGCTGCTGCCATCTGTTGGCCGAGCTCGCCGCGGGCTGGCACCTTGGTTCTTTTCATAATAATAATAATAATAATAATGATATTTTATTTAGGAAAAGTACATACATAGATGCAGAGTTACAAACATTCTGATTGATTTATACATAGAGCTAGTACATACAATACCTACAGCCACTAGTACGCAGAGCGTTTCGGGCATAGGGGTTTTAATGCTACTCTACTGTTGCCTACTCTAATATATTCTCTCATTCACTGTTAGCCATTAGTTAATACGAAATAATTATAATTTGGTGTTTTGTATGGGATTTGTTGCGCAAAGAGAAATGATAACTAGCGCGTTCATCGATCAAGGATGAATTTGGGGGGTTAGGGGGGGGGAGGGCCTTTGACAAGCCGCCGGTTTCCTGTCCTCGTCGGGACCACTAGAGCTGTAGTGGCTCTCAGGTCAATTCAGGTTAATATAAGGAAGGGTTTTGTAGTACAGTTGGCTTCGTTCTCGACTCACAATTGGGAACTAGAGCTCAATTCCCAGACGAGACAATTTGGTTGCGCACGTTTCCTTTCACCGAACTGACCTGTTCACCTAGAAGTAAATAGGTAATTGGGAGTTAGGCAAATGTTTTGGGGTTACATACTGGGGACGGTCAGTAGTTCTACCTTCGGGGGAACCTCAATACATATATACACAGGCTTTCTTTCCCAAACAAAACGAATTAATTGAATTATTATGCAGCTTGGGGTTCAGTTCCTGAGCCCATTATGTGCCTCTATAACCCTTTCCACTACCGCTTACAAGATGGGTATGGGGGTGCATAATAAATGAACTAAACTAAACTTGACCATTCATTAGGCCAACGGTAACACAACTGAGAAGAATGTAAGTCAGTAACTGGGTATCCACTTTATAAGATGAACTGTTTGCTATGCTTCTAGCAATCACAGTTATTAAAAACACTGCAGAGGACAACTTCCTGTTTCTCATTACTAGCATTAACTAGCTTATAATCAAACTGAAAAAATGTGTAGCTTTTTGTATTACCAAACTATATAGGTACACATTAAATTTGTAATGTGCAGCTGCCCTATTCTATGTGAAGGATTACAGAGTATGTATATCAAAAGTTAGCTGTGAGTTCATCAAATATCCCCATCTCACAGGATAGTTAATAATACATTGAATCAGCAGAAAAAAATATAAATCATTATATATAAATATGTGCTGCACTAGCAAACTCCGGGTACCTACCTTGAGGCTACCTTGAGGTGCTTCCGGGGCTTAGTGTCCCCGCGGCCCGGTCGTCGACCAGGCCTCCTGGTTGCTGGACTGATCAACCAGGCTGTTAGACGCGGCTGCTCGCAGCCTGACGTATGAGTCACAGCCTGGTTGATCAGGTATCAAGCAAGATCAGGGTAGAGCACAAGAATATAATAACAATGATAATAATAATATAATAATAATAATTTACATGAAGACCACTAACTCTAGTGGCCTCGACGAGGACAGGAAGCCGGCGACTTGTCAAAGGTCCCCCTATTTGCTCTGATGGATTTTTCCAATTGGATTTTCAAATTTAAGAGTTTCGGCATTTACGGTTTCGGCGGGTAGGCGGTTCCATGAGTTTATAACCCAGGATGGCAAAGCATCTCCCGTTTTTAGACCTACATTGTGACTTATTGAGCATGAAACCGTTGCTCCTTGTTTGTGTTACATCTGATCTTTAGAAGAAATTGTATGGATCACATCCTCGAAATTGTTCGGTACTGTAGCGAGTAAATCTTATACTCGCTCCAATCTCTCATTACCTTAATGACAAACTAATTAGCACTAGTTATGACTACTCAAATCCTTTCCCTAATTACAGGTAACATTCTTTCCATCCTGTTGGAGGAAGCTGAGGTGTAGTCACTAAATATAAGCAAGCGGGAAATGATAGCCGACGTCCATTTGGTCACCACTTGGTCCGGGAGACATCTCCCGTCACGCAGGGTGCAGTTGCGCCTCCACAGATCTCCAGTATCATCTTTTGATACTGGTAATGGCTCGAAAGGGCCACCACTTACGGGCTATTCATGCCCGTGCCACCTCTTGGGTGGCTTAATCTTCATCAATCAATCAATCGATAGCCGACGTCCCAAGTTACAGCCCCTCTCCTGTGCCAGGTAAGTCCACTACGGGCTCACCATAGCCCGTGATACTTGGAACTTTTTGTTCCCAGTAGCTGAATCTTAAACAACAACATGAATAGCCGAATTACGGGCTCACCATAGCCCGTGATACATGGACATTTCGTTCTGAGTAGCTAAATCTAAAACAATAACAGAAGCCGAATTTACGGGCTATTCATGCCCGTGCCACCTCTTGGGTGGCTTAATCATCATCAATCAATCGAATAGCCGACAGTACAATTTCCACAGTGATTCAGATAACTTCAGGAATGTAGCACTCGGCGTGTACAGTTTTAATCGACACCAAGACGCTACAGCTTCGACATAAAGCAGACAGCAGACCGCATCGAGCTACAACGCTCTCGTCCCTCATCGAGTTTAGACACTCACGATTCCCCATCGAGCTGTCACGCTCTCCTGCATAGAGCTCCACGACTCCAGCCTCACTCAGCTCTCTGCTCTGCTCCAGGATCCGTCTCGACGTCTACGACACTGCTGTATCCAAGACTACTAAATAAATATGAAACTCACTAAACACTGTGTATCTAATCTACCCAACAACGTAATATATTCGTACGTTACATTGGTGACCCCAGAGAGTTTCGACGATACCCATCCCCGACGGACTACAACATGGACTCTCACTGGACCTCTACTGCTGCTGTTGCTGCTGTGGACCGCAGCCACCTGTCATGGAACGCTGCCAACACCCTCGTCACAGCTATGATTTTCACCACGATCATCTCTGCATTTTCATCTGTTTGCTAGGGTGCTTAAAGAATGCAAAGAGGAGCTTTGTGACCCACTGTCAACCATATTTAATAAATCAATAGAGTCAGGCAGAGTGCCAGAGTTTTGGAAAGTTGCTAATGTGATACCAGTTTTTAAGAAAGGAGATAGATCACTTGCGTCTAACTATCGACCAATTAGCCTAACGTCTATTGTGGGAAAGTTACTCGAATCTATAATAGCAAATAAAATTCGTCTTCATCTTGAAAAACATAAATTAATAATTGAGTCGCAACATGGTTTTATAAATGGCCGTTCATGTTTAACAAATTTGTTATCTTTTTATTCTAGCATTGTTGAGGCAGTTGATAGTGGTAAGGATTGCGATGTTGTATACCTTGACTTTAGCATAGCTTTTGATACAGTGCCACATGAAAGACTGATTAATAATATAGAGTCTCTTGGTATTGGGGGTGCTATATTAAGCTGGATTAGGGCATGGCTATACCAAAGGAAACAGAGTTAGTATAAATGGAATCAAGTCAGAGTGGGAAAATGTTGTAAGTGGAGTGCCTCAAGGCTCTGTCCTGGGACCTCTGTTGTTTATAATATATATAAATGATTTAGATTCAGGTTTGAGTAGCAACATTTGCAAATTTGCCGATGATACGAAAATCGGTAGGGAAATTAATTCGGAGGAGGACTCACTATCACTTCAAGTTGATCTAGATAGGGTTTTGAAATGGTCAAAGGATTGGCAGATGCAGTTTAATGCTGATAAATGTAAAGTTCTGAGGTTAGGTAATGATGATAGAGTTACAAGATACGAGCTAGATGGTGTTGTGATTGCGAAGTCGGATTGCGAAAGGGATCTGGGAGTTATGATTAGTAAGAATTTAAAACAAAAGGATCAATGCATAAATGTTCGTAATAAGGCAAATCGGACACTTGGATTTATTAATCGCAGCGTTAGTAACAAGACACCTGGTGTGGTTCTCAAGCTATATCTTGCTCTAGTTAGGCCCCATTTAGATTATGCAGTTCAGTTTTGGTCGCCATATTATAGAATGGATATAAATTCACTTGAACGTGTCCAGCGTAGGATGACTAAGTTAATTCCCCAAATTAGAAATCTTTCATATGAAGAAAGATTAACAAAGCTTAAGTTGCATTCACTGGAAAGGCGAAGAGTTAGGGGTGACATGATAGAGGTTTACAAGTGGATGAATGGACATAACCGGGGGGATATTAATAGGGTATTAAAAGTATCAACACAGGACAGAACACGAAACAATGGATATAAATTGGATAAGTTTAGATTTAGGAAAGACTTGGGTAAATACTGGTTCAGTAACAGGGTTGTTGATTTGTGGAACCAATTGCCGCGTAACATTGTGGAGGTGGGGTCCCTCGATTGTTTCAAGCACGGGTTGGACAAGTATATGAGTGGGATTGGGTGGTTATAGAATAGGAGCTGCCTCGTATGGGCCAATAGGCCTTCTGCAGTTACCTTTGTTCTTATGTTCTTATGTTCTTATCTGCTACGGCTTCCTGCTCCACGATCGTTATTCACTCATCTGACAGCCTCATCAATGATTACATCATGTAGGATCTACAGCCTGTCCTGCCGACTCTCCGTCGCTGCCAGGGCACTACTTGTCCTACAGGGACACCCACGACAGCTGCTCTTTCATCAGATTCATCTACCACGTTCGCTGCATTCTGCTTCTCTGCCGACCCAAGCACCTTCCTTGCGCAGAACAAGACCTACAACTTGCGTTCCCGACTTTTTGACGCCGCTAGTACAATTCAACTCTGACAGTGATTCCCTCGTCGTCCTAACCTCGTGCCTACTTTACCTCCTAGGATCCTGGTGCCCGAGCCCATCCACCCCGGATCTAAATGCTCCACCATACATCCAAGGACACAACAATCATACACATTTTTCTCTCCTGTTACACCGAGCTTGTCCACACACCGCCTGCATCTTTTGGTACCGGACTACATGTTCCACAGCGACCCAGGGAACAGTAGCCTCGTATTTTTGTTGTATTGCTTTTCTTTCATTCCCTGGCAGGGGGAGTTTTGTAGCGAGTAAATCTTATACCCGCTTCAATCTCTCATTACCTTAATGACAAACTAATTAGCACTAATTATGACTACTCAAATCCTTTCCCCTAATTACAGATAACATTCTTTCCATCCTGTTGGAGGAAGCTGAGATGTAGTCACCAAATATAAGCAAGCGGGAAGTAAATAGCCAACAGTACAATTTCTACAGTGATTCAGATAACTTCAGGAATGTAGCACTCGGCGTGTACAGTTCTAATCGACTCCAAGACGCTACAGCTTCGACAGAGCAGACAGCAGACTACGACCGCATCGAGCTACAACACTCGCCCCCCATCGAGTTTAGACACTCACGATTCCCCATCGAGCTGTCACGCTCTCCTGCATAGAGCTCCTCGACTCCGGCCTCACTCAGCTCTCTGCTCTGCTCCAGGATCCGTCTCGACGTCTACGACACTGCTGTATCCAAGACTACTAAATAAATATGAAACTCACTAAACACTGTGTATCTAATCTACCCAACAACGTTACATGATCGTATGTTACAGTATTTTAAAAGCTTAGAAAAGGTCCGCCTTGTCATGCCTGGTTTGCATTGTTAGCCTTGAGGCACTTAACTGTTTCTGGTACGAGGGTTGACTTAAGTTCTATAATTACTTTTGTCGCCCAGTGTGGTACTTTTTCGAGCGCTGCTGCATCCTTCTGAAGAGTGCCGGACCAACCGGGCTGTGGTGGGTATGTGGGCCTGCGGGCCGCTCCAAGCAACAGCCTGATGGACCAAACTCTCACAGGTCAAGCCTGGTCTAGGGCCGGACTTGGGGAGTAGAAGAACTTCCAGAACCCCATCAAGCAGAAGATGACGTTTCCAAGCTTGGATACAATAATCCTATGGGGCACACCAAAGATTTATTTTGTTGACCAGACCACACACTAGAAGGTGAAGGGACGACGACGTTTCGGTCCGTCCTGGACCATTCTCACACACAATCGACTTGAGAATGGTCCAGGACGGACCGAAACGTCGTCGTCCCTTCACCTTCTAGTGTGTGGTCTGGTCAACTTACAAGGATTGTATATTGAATGAGGCCACAACTATACAAAGTGTTTCAGGCAAAACCCAGAATACCTCAGTTAAACAAATATTGGTGTACATGTACTGTATCTCAAAGTAAAGTTTACTTTACAGAAGAAGTAAACCCTTCTTCATATTATTAGTTTAAATTATTTATAATTTCCTCATTTAAGTGTTATTATACGAATTCAATTCAATAAAATTTAGTAAACCTATGAATGGTTAATTTGTATAATTATCAGGATCTTAAATAGATTACTCTGTTAATTATAAGTGAATAGTTTAATTTCTTACGTATCTTCTCATTAATATTAGCTATTAGTAATGTTTTGAAATGGTCAAAGGGTTTTGAAATGGTCAAAGGATTGGCAGATGCAGTTTAATGCTGATAAATGTAAAGTTCTGAGGTTAGGTAATGATGATAGAGTTACAAGATACGAGCTAGATGGTGTTGTGATTGCGAAGTCGGATTGCGAAAGGGATCTGGGAGTTATGATTAGTAAGAATTTAAAACAAAAGGATCAATGCATAAATGTTCGTAATAAGGCAAATCGGACACTTGGATTTATTAATCGCAGCGTTAGTAACAAGACACCTGGTGTGGTTCTCAAGCTATATCTTGCTCTAGTTAGGCCCCATTTAGATTATGCAGTTCAGTTTTGGTCGCCATATTATAGAATGGATATAAATTCACTTGAACGTGTCCAGCGTAGGATGACTAAGTTAATTCCCCAAATTAGAAATCTTTCATATGAAGAAAGATTAACAAAGCTTAAGTTGCATTCACTGGAAAGGCGAAGAGTTAGGGGTGACATGATAGAGGTTTACAAGTGGATGAATGGACATAACCGGGGGGATATTAATAGGGTATTAAAAGTATCAACACAGGACAGAACACGAAACAATGGATATAAATTGGATAAGTTTAGATTTAGGAAAGACTTGGGTAAATACTGGTTCAGTAACAGGGTTGTTGATTTGTGGAACCAATTGCCGCGTAACATTGTGGAGGTGGGGTCCCTCGATTGTTTCAAGCACGGGTTGGACAAGTATATGAGTGGGATTGGGTGGTTATAGAATGGGAGCTGCCTCGTATGGGCCAATAGGCCTTCTGCAGTTACCTTTGTTCTTATGTTCTTATGTTCTTATGTATTTTCTAATATTTTCTAATATATCTGAATTGTTGATAGATTTTAAACTTTAGGTATATATTTTGTCTGTTTATACTGCATCGTTATCAAACTAGCAGTAATACCATAGATATTACTATATTACATTTTTAATTTTAAAAATATTGAATACTTAATTTGGTTAATTATCTGTATTCTAGTTGATTGATTATTTGAAACTTAATTAATCTAATTTCATTTTATTCTGCTCCTTATTTTTGTCCGTTTATATTGAAATAAGTTTATTGAGATAAAATACACAAAGGGATGAGGTAGCTCAAACTACCCTCACCCCGTTCAGTACAACGTGCTCATACATATATAAACACACATCACAAACAATAAACATATTACAGAACATTCTGAGAGATAAGGTTTACTGATGGTCTATCAATACATATTTTTGTAGGCGATGAATCACAATAACGTGGCTGAAGAATGTTGACCAGACCACACACTAGAAGGTGAAGGACGACGACGTTTCGGTCCGTCCTGGACCATTCTCAAGACGATTGATTCACAATCGACTTGAGAATGGTCCAGGATGGACCGAAACGTCGTCGTCCCTTCACCGTCTAGTGTGTGGTCTATCACTACATATTGGTATTTTCCACCAAACAGTTACCTCAGGATGTGCTATCTAATACTTCACGAGGCTAGGTTGCTGGCAAAGACATTACCCGGGATAAAGTATTAATGCCAATTAAGATTGGAAGTCTATCGTCCCTTGGGAGGATTACCTTGCCTTGTGGTTACATTTTTCTTTCCAAGGTTCCGAGGATCAACGTCCCCAGGGGCCCGGTCTCAAGTTCAAGTATGTTTATTGAAACAGGAAAGAAATACATCTCAAAGGGATAGAGTAGCTTAGGCTATTTCTACCCCCCTATCCCGGTCTCTCACGAGGGGCCAAATTCACGAAGGTACTTACGAAGGTTTTTCTTCTTAGCTACGAATGTTTTCCTTCTTAGCGCCTTCGTGGCGGCTACGTCGGTATTCAGGTAGCTACACTAAGTCGAAAAACCTTTGTAAGTTTGGTCCGGGATCTAAGTGTGGTGTCGACCACTCGTAGCTTTACGTAAACTGAGACCTAGCTGGGGTTGATGGTCAGGTCAATTAGGCAGTTGGACGCAGCTGTTATTTACACACATTACATTATAAATGCACAAACAATCAATCATAGACTTTTTTAACATGAGTAGCCCAACTTATTTTTAAATTAGCCTAAAAAGTAGCAAGTAGCGAGATTAAAAATTTAGGAGTGTTGAGCTTCTAATAGTAGCCCAATTCGCTACTTTTAGCCCAATATTGCGACACTAGAAAGGGACGATGCTGCTGATTGATGAAGATTAGTCCACCCAAGAGGCGGCACGGGCATGAATAGCCCGTAAGTGGTAGATGTTTGGAGTAATGTGATCCTTGGTCGTGAAAGGATATAGTATGTGCTGAGCTCGCATTTAAAGAAACTTTTTTTTTTGGAAGTTACAGCCCCGCTCCTGTGCCAGGTAGGTCTACTACGGGCTCACCATAGCCCGTGCTACTTGGAACTTTTTTGTTTCTAGAAACTGAATCTTAAACAACCACATCGCATTTCAACTGCCAGTCCTTACTATGGGGCTGTTATCGCGGGGAAGGATACTGCTTGTTTCGACAAGTCTCTTGGTAAATTACACACAGAAATCACAATAGCGTGATGCATCAAATGAACAAATCCACAAGGGCCGTGACCAGGATTCGAACCTACGTCCGAGAGCATCCCAGACGCTGCTCAAGCTATCCCAATCGTAGCTCAGTCGATTAAGGCAGCGTTTGGGATGCTCTTGGTTCGAATGTAGTTCGACGCGTAGGTTCGAATCCTCGTCACGGCCCTTGTGGATTTGTTCTCTTGATAAATGCCTGTTTGCTTGGAGGGTAGTGGGGAGGAGGGGGGTGACGAGCTCATGGGAGGGGAGAACTGCTGGTGGGGAGTTGGGGGGAATAGGGAAATCCAGTGGGGGCAAGAGAGGAGTTATGGAACCCTTGGGGAGGTGGGAGTTAATAGGTCACCTTGTGAGGGAGGTGTAAAGGAAGTCCTTGATGTGGGGGAGAGGAAGGGGGGGATTATGGTAGACAGGGAGGGGGAACAGGTGCAGTAGTGGTTCCTCCGCTCTGGTCCACCATCGCCAGTTCACTACCTGGCGCCACCAGGTGAAGGAGGGGTGTCACTGTCTGCTGCAAGCAAGTCGGGTTGCACTCTTGCATAACGGGTTGCCTTCATATTTCACCTGCGTTCAGTGCACAACTTCAGGCTGAAATGCTGTTTAGCCGAATTATGAAAAGGTGTTAAATAAGCAGTGGCGGCGTGTGTTGGTGCGTTAACGTCTCTCCTCGGCCCCTGCAAGCACCAGTGCAATTGTGAGTACAACTTTCAACCCATGCATCTCTCTCTCTCTCTGTCTCCCTGTCTCTGTCTCTCTCTCTCTGTCTCTCTGTTTCTGTCTCGCTGTGTGTGCGTGTGTGTCTCTCTCTCATTTGATTTGCCGTGGTTTATATAAGTTAATGTTGTGTATGTATTTATTTTAGAACATAAAATCAAGGCACATCATTTGCATAACCATCTGAGTCACAAGGTATATTTACGTTTAATAATATGTGTACATGTCAGTCATAAACTTGTGTTGACATGTGTGCACTTTTTGCCCAAGAATGAGTGTAGACCTTAGTGCTGGTCAATAGCGAGACGCTAAAATATAACATTTAAATAAGGAGTTAAGAACAGTGATCACCAGGAAATCAGATTTAACCAAAGAATAACAACCCGCAGAAGGGGTTCTGTTATTCAGGTTCTGCAGAAGGCCAACTGGACTGCCTGGACCGATCCTGTTGTTGTTGTTGTTTAAGATTCGCTACTTGGAACAACAAGTTGCAAGTAGCACGGGCTATGGTGAGCCCGTTGTGGACTTACCTGGCACAGGAGCGGGGCAAGTAGCACGGGCTATGGTGAGCCCGTTGTGGACTTACCTGGCACAGGAGCGGGGCTGTAACTTGGGCCGCTCCTATACACTCTACCATTTATGCTGCTATCCAACTTGGGATAACCCCCAGTACCATGTGCTTTCCAGTTGTGGCTCGTGAGACAGATCAAGTTCAAGTATGTTTATTGAGACAAGAAAGAAATACATCGCAAAGGGATAGAGTAGCTTAGGCTATGTCTACCCCCCCCCCCCCCCCTCGTGAGACAGAGCATCAATGTCTTCGTTAAACTCAAGGTAGAGAAGGTCGCAATCCGTATGTACCTTCTTATATATCAATAAATAAATAAACAAATAATAATGTATACATAAGAGGAGCTTGCCTCTTCGAGATTGGATATTTTTGAGGGTATACATTTTGTGTCACCCAGCACGCGGTGAAGTGTGTCTAGCCTCACACACCTGCTCACCCATGTGCACATGTGAGTCAAAAAAACATCTGTCAAATTGGCTGTGCTCTAAATAAACATGTTACAGTGTACTGTAGGCTACAAGATTATATATATATATATATATATATATATATATATATATATATATATATATATATGTGTGTGTGTGTGTGTGTGTGTGTGTGTGTGTGTGTGTGTGTGTGTGTGTGTGTGTGTGTGTGTGTGTGTGTGTGTGTGTGTGTGTGTGTGTGTAGCTACATTAACATATGTTAATCCTTTATTAGCATACAGTGCACTCGATGCTGAATCAAACGAGAACTTATTGAGGAAGCTTTCCTAAGTTGGAAAAGCTAAGCTGGGTAATTCTTCAGCTATATCTGCCCTTGTTAAGCCCCATTTAATTTATGCAGTTCAATTTTCGTCGCCATACTGTAAAGAATGGACATAGATTCAATTGAACACGTTCAGTGAAACGTGTTCAATTACTTGAATGCAGAATAATTTTTATAATTAGTCTGACCTGAGACAGGTCAAATAATTAATAATGATAAAACGATGACTAGTATTTTACATAATTGACCAATTATGAAGTCCATCATGCCTTGTGTTGTCTTGTATCTTAGTTTTATTTCCCTTGATATTCTCTCTTTAAAATTCTCAGACCTTCTGGTACTCGCTTTTATGGGAAGCTAGTTTCCCACTCCCGTCTTCTATTCCTCTAGCCACAGTCTTCATAACATAATCAAGGATTAGTACACAATGTTCACTTGCACAATGGCATTTCATGATCAATGTTCTCAATGTCCATTTCGCTTTTGTGTGAACACTAAGTCAAATCTTGCTGGTTGGTCTCGCCTCCTCGTCTTCGAGTTCCCTACCAAACATGTTGTATAATGATCCACTGATTTCCAGTCAATTTGACCTTGATTCAAATCTCTCATTACTAGTAGCTTTGTTGTAAATCTAAGGGATAATTCTGCCACACTTTGTATGGTATTTATGCAAGCTCTGTTTGCAATTTCATGTTTCTGTCTGGGTCTTCTATTATTCTCTGGAGGATTGTACATTATAGCCAGGTGATATCTTAGTATGAGGGTCTTCACTAGAATACTTCCTAGTGAAGTATCACAGGAAGATCAAATGACGTAAAATCTGTTTAATCAATTCTAGCAGCGTCTCATGACTGTCCTTCCGGAGACGTCATTAGGCTGCGAGCTCACCATTTCACTCATTAGTCATTTCCGCCACCATGTTAGAAGTGAAAAGTTGCCCACATTGGGGTTTCCTTTCCGTCGGAGTTGTAAGTCCCTATGTATGCTTGTCTTTATAAATGTAGGGACCTACCGAAAAGAAAGAAAAAAAAAGATTGAGCAGCGGAAAATCTTACACATATGTTGCAATCATTGCATTTCACGATTACTTTAGGTTGCGAAAAGAGGCGCATTAGATTCTGCCTCTTTTTGCATGGCCATAGTACACATATTTCGGTAAAAATGAAGCAGGGCAGTTCCTTATTGACTGGGTTTGGAGCCCGTGTGTTACTTTGCAACTTCAAATAAGTTTAACTTGGCCAAACAAAATTTTTGTTACGAGTGCATGAGTGAGTGTGTGTGTGTGTGTGTGTGTGTGTGTGTGTGTGTGTGTGTGTGTGTGTGTGTGTGTGTGTGTGTGTGTGTGTGTGTGTGTGTGTGTGTGTGTGTGTGTGTGTGTGTGCGTGTGTACGTGTGTGTGTTAGAGAGAAATATATGTAGTAAGACATAATAGAGGAAAAATGGACTGGTTAGAAAGGCGCGATCCAAGAGCTAATAGCTCGATTCTGCAGGCACAAATAATAAATACACACACACACACAAGAAATACATACAACACATAAGGAAACCACAATGTATACAAAGAGTCCAGAACAGTACGAGAATGACAATGCATACAAGGCTAAGACGTCCCAGCCAAAACTGTTCCAAGACTGTCAATGATCAGGGTCTCAGACTTGACCAAAGTGAGGTCAAAGTGACACACGGATAATGATAAGAAGGTATGCGAGGACCTTAATTAATAAAAACTTTTAGGAAGTGTTCAAGCTGGAACATGATTTGCCACTGGAGCTTAGAGCCAAAGCCGAACAGGCAATTCCACAGGAATGTCTCATTGAAATAACAGAAGCAGAAGCAACTGCAGGAACCGGATTTGACAAAAGCCACACGACCAGACTGAATATCGCCTTCGATGCTAAAAGAAGAAACGTAAACATTGTACAGCCCACTTGTCAGGCGTACGGTTAAGAATTGACGTCTAGTCAATCGATTGATTGATTGATGAAGATTAAGCCACCCAAAAGACGGCACGGGCATGAATAGCCCGTAAGTGGTGGCCCTTTTGAGCCATTACCAGTATCAAGAGTTGATACTGGAGATCTGTGGAGGTGCGACTGCACCCTGCGTGACGGGAGATGTCTCCCCCGTGTCTAGTCAATTCTCCCCGGCCAGGATATGAACCCAGGAGAAATCGCTTGCGAAGTGCGGGGCGTGTCTTACCACTGCGCCACGGGGATTGCTAACTAACACTATCACTAACACGCATCCCCTGCAGGTTGGTAGCGACTGATCCTAGACACATTAGTAGAACATTTAGAAAAGTTAAAGTTTGAATCAAGACACCAGCACGGTTTTTAGTAAAGGAAAATCCTGCTTGATAAACTTGCTGGAGTCCTATAACAAGATGACAGAAATCGAACAAGAGAGAGAAGGATGGGCAGACTGCATATTCCTTGACTGTCAAAAGGCATTTGATACGGTCCGGCACGAGGGACTCCTACTCAAATTTTGCGAGCGGCTGTGGGTTTTACATCAGTTTTTGGCTTTAGGGGATTTATACGTCAAGATATGATGTACTATTAAAGAGGATGGGTTAGTGTGAGGGAGGGAGGCAGGGAGAGCAGCCCCGATGTGTGTTAGAGAGAGAGAGAGAGAGAGAGAGAGAGAGAGAGAGAGAGAGAGAGAGAGAGAGAGAGAGAGAGAGAGAGAGAGAGAGAGAGAGAGAGAGAGAGACAGAGAGAGAGACAGAGAGAGAGAGAGAGAGAGAGAGAGAGAGAGAGAGAGAAGAGAGAGAGAGAGAGAGAGAGAGAGAGAGAGAGAGAGAGAGAGAGAGAGAGAGAGAGAGAGAGAGAGAGAGAGAGAGAGAGAGAGAGAGAGAGAGAGACAGACAGAGATACAGAGAGACAGAGAGAGACAGAGAGAATCAGAGAGAGAGAGAGAGAGAGAGAGAGAGAGAGAGAGAGAGAGAGAGAGAGAGAGAGAGAGAGAGAGAGAGAGAGAGAGAGAGAGAGAGAGAGAGAGAGAGAGAGAGAGAGAGAGAGAGAGAGAGAGAGAGAGAGAGAGCTAGCTAGCTAGCTCTAGTAAGTGTTATGGCGACATCTCTGACAAAGTCAGAGAATGCAGCAGCTACCATTACACCCAGGGAAGACACAGTTATTAGTAGTCATCTGAACTGCAAGCTACAGATGATAATCTTCCTCGAGACTTCCTCTCAGCTCCTCTAGCCTATCCGGGACCTTGAACACGTTCACAAGTAACGTGTCCGGTCTCTGCACTGCGAGTGGCCACGCTAGTTTTTACAGGGGAGTTGGTCCGTACAAGAATATAAACACACGGAAAATATTGTGGCTTATTTATGTTTGTTGATCATATTGATGCCTTTATTTTAGCATTTGGTGCCTTCTTTTGATAATTACTTTATTTTAGCATTGCTATATGCCAACACTCGGTGAAGAATGTGACTAAAAAATGGTCTTCAGTTATTTTACCGACCTCTTGCACTGACGTCACGAGATCACGCGATGTTTCAGCTTATCTTCGGTCGTAGAGGCAACCGAGGCTGCTCCCATATTAAATTTGCAGCGTTGTATTATAGATTCAGCTACTCGGAACAAGTTCCAAGTAGCACGGGCTATGGTGAGCCCGTAACTTACCTGACACAGGAGCGGGGCAAGTAGCACGGGCTATGGTGAGCCTGTAACTTACCTGACACAGGAGCGGGGCAAGTAGCACGGGCTATGGTGAGCCTGTAACTTACCTGACACAGGAGCGGGGCAAGTAGCACGGGCTATGGTGAGCCTGTAGTAGACTTACCTGACACAGGAGCGGTGCTGTGGACGATTTGCAGCGTTAAACACTATAGCTTATAGGTCTGAGGTCACAGCCTAATGATCACCAAATCGTTACATTAAACAACTAAGGGACTTTGAGGCACGTATCAGTAATGCTACTTGAGCAACCTGTCCTCCTACAAAGAACGTCGATTTTTTATCGTATGCGTTACATAAGGGCAAAAATTATCGTACTAGAAAATGGAAGCGGTTGCAGAAAGTGACGTACTGTCCCGTTTTCTGTTTTGGGTCCTCTGGTAGGTTAGGATGAAGGCACTTTAGTACGGCAGTTTCTTAACGTTGGGAAACTTTAGGAGGACGGGCTGACTTGCGAGCGTTTCACCAAACAATGAGGTATAGTGTGTACCTGGGCAAGGTACCTAGAGTACATAGTACCTAGTGAGGCCTTGGCAAGGACTGGGCCGCGGTGACGCTAATCACCGAAACCATGACAAGGTAACATAAGGTAACAAGATACATACAAGTTCTTACCTATGTGTGACTACCGGGGGTGGGGGAGAGATCTAGCCCTTTATGGTGATGATTGATAAAGATTAAGCCACCCAAGAGGTGGCACGGGCATGAATAACCCGTAACCTTTATGGTACGCCTCCTGCCCAATTATACCTGACGCGATAATGACCTCATTATCTCAACAACATTAACATTTTCATCATATTTTTCTGAAAAGTTGTGAATAGAATTGGCTTCAACAACCTCTTCTTCCTCCTCCACCAGGGATGTTGTTGTTGTTTCAGATTTAGCTACTCAGAACGAGGTGTCCATGTAGCACGGGCCCGTGTGAGCCCGTAATTGAGTTTGGTTATACGCGATAACCTTGTTTCTGTGATTCCACCAGGGAACGAGAGCTTCCTTACATCTCTTCGGAGAGATGAGGGGCATCTCTGTCCCCTTGTCCTACCTCTATTTAATTTAAAATAGGCTTCCTTTGCCCACTTTATCTATCCCCTCAAGATCCTGTGTAACAGTTGTTGAGGTGACTTGAGTGGAGACTTGTGGGGGGTACCTGACTTAGGAGACTTTCCCAGGGAGGCGAGGTAGGGCCACACAAACCTCAGCGCGGGTAGTTTCAAAGGTTGGCGGGCTAATCCCTTCTTCCAAGATGTTACCTGATTCACGTCCGTTAATTCAACGGAATATTTGGGATTGATGGGGGTCTCCCCATATGTCTCTGGACATGTCGCCCGCTCTTCCGGACATGCCGCGCCCGCTCTTCAGGAAATGTCGCGCCCGCTCTTCAGGAAATGTCGCGCCCGCTCTTCAGGAAATGTCGCGCCCGCTCTTCCGGACATGTCCTCCCGCTCTTCTGGACGTGTCGCACCCGCTCTTCTGGACGTGTCGCACCCGCTCTTCTGGACGTGTCGCACCCGCTCTTCCGGACATGTCCTCCCGCTCTTCCGGACATGTCGCTCTCGCTCTTCCAGACATGTCGCTCCCGCTCTTCCAGACATGTCGCGCCTGCTCTTCCGGACATGTCGCTCCCGCTCTTCCGGACATGTCGCGCCCGCTCTTCCGGACATGCCGCGCCCGCTCTTCCGGACATGTCGCGCCCGCTCTTCCGGACATGTCGCGCCCGCTCTTCCGAACATGTCGCGCCCGCTCTTCCGGACATGTCGCTCTCGCTCTTCCAGACATGTCGCTCCCGCTCTTCCAGACATGTCGCTCCCGCTCTTCCGGACATGTCGCGCCCGCTCTTCTGGACATGTCGCGCCCGCTCTTCCGAACATGTCGCGCCCGCTCTTCCGGACATGTCGCTCTCGCTCTTCCAGACATGTCGCTCCCGCTCTTCCAGACATGTCGCTCCCGCTCTTCCGGACATGTCGCGCCCGCTCTTCCGGACATGTCGCCTCGCTTTTCTGAACACGTGCATGCACACGTGTTCTCACGTCTCAATATGAAAACAAACTAAATGCTTTATTAAGTAATGAATAAATATTTAGTATTTATTAAAACTCCTTTAACTTGTAGTCAACCTGGAATGTTTTATAATATGCCGGATTGGGAACCCGGCTGTACCCGGGTCTCTCTACCCCTCCCCTCTCTCTTTCCCTTTCCCCCGTCTCTCTTTCTCCCCTCCCTCTTCACCTTTCACCCAATTTTATCCCCCCTCTCCCCCTCTTCTTTCTTCTGTTCCAGCATCTTCTCTCACCTTTCCTCTCCCACAATTTCTCCTCTACCATTCCCCTTCTCACTTCTTTCCCCTCTCCAAACTCTCTCTCAATCTCCCCTGTTTTCCAACCCTCCCCTTTCATTTATCTCCTTCCTTCTGTATCTCTAGAGACAGGGAAGATGTCTCTCTCTCTCTCTCCCTCTCCCTCCCAACCACTTGGGCTGGACGGTAGAGTGACGGCCTCGCTTCATGCAGGTTGACGTTTGGTCCCCGACCGTCCAGGTAATTGGGCACCATTCCGTTCCCCCGTCCCATCCCAAATCCGTATCCTGATCTCTTGCCAGTGATATATAGTCGTAATGGCTGGAACTATCTCCTGATAGTCCCTTCCCTTCCCTCTCTCTCTCTCTCTCTCTCTCTCTCTCTCTCTCTCTCTCTCTCTCTTCAGTGTTTAAGGGACGATTCGTTGTTAGTAAAAATGATAATGTACAAAGTTCGACAGTTACTATAGTAATAGTTGACTGTGAACAAATTCACAAGGGCCGTGACGAGGATTCGAACCTGCGTCCGAGATCATCCCAGACGCTGCCTTAATCGGGATGATCTCGGACGCGGGCTCGAATCCTCGTCACGGCCCTTGTGGATTTGTTCATTGATGCATCACGCTATTGTGATTTCTGTGTGTAACAGTTGACTGTCTCCCGCGTGTGGCCTGTCCCAGGACCTGTCAGCACAGTGCGTCACGCCGCACTTCGCCCCACCGCGTCCCGCCCTCCTGTTCTTTTTTCGAGCGTAGCGCTGTAAATTGTCATGCACTGGTGACCTGCGTGATGGAAGGGCTTGGGACATGTGGCGCCTCCTAGTGACTGTGATTCTCGGGACAAGTACATAAATAATTCTGGTGTGAAAGGAGGATTCCCTGGCGAGTGAGAGGGGAGGTAGAGGTACCAGTGTGTGAGAGTGAGGGAGGTAGAGGTACCAGTGTGAGAGAGTGAGGGAGGTAGAGGTACCAGTGTGAGAGAGTGAGGGAGGTAGAGGTACCAGTGTGTGAGAGTGAGGGAGGTAGAGGTACCAGTGAGAGAGAGAGAGAGTGAGGGATGTAGAGGTACCTGGTAGGTCACAGACCATCAACACCTTCACTTCGAGCTCCTGTGTCTCACAGTCTTGCCACGGACCATTGACACTCCCCGCTCTGTCTCTCGCCAATTGTCACGAGCCCTTCTAGTTTGGGCCGGAGTGGTCATCAGCCATGATACGGCTCCACAGTGTACCCGAACTGAACCTTAAAAGATAACACCTTACTCCCTCTGGGTTACCCTTCAATACTTTACTGCACCCACACACACACACACAAGGATCCAAGAGCTAATAGCTCGATTCTGCAGACACAAATATTAAATACAGGGCCTATCGGATGAGTGGACAGCCCTCAGGGGTCGTAGTAATAAGGGCCCGGGCTCGATTCCCGGCCGAGGCAGGAAAAAATGAGCAGTCTTTCGCCTGATGCGTCTGTTAACTAGTAGTAAATAGGTACCTGAGACTTACCTGCGACGGCTGTCTAACTGAGGGGAAGAATATAGTGAGGGGAGGAATGTGTCCACTCATCCTGATGTATGCCTGGAGCAGGGCTGTGTCGAGGCATAAGGGGCTCAGGGACACCCACACTAGACCCCATTGTGAACTGCAAAACGAACATTATTTTCAGTGTATTCTTAATGGCTCACTTACACAACTCCTCCTGGAGTAAACACTACCATGCACCTCACCTGAAGCCTAGAGCCTCTCACCTGGAGCTTAAAACCTCTCACCTGGAGCCTATAGAGCCTCTTTACCGCGTTTCACCTGGAACCTACAGCCTCTACCTAGTCATAGAAATATTCGTGTGTACGTCTGGCAACATATTGCATGTGTAAAGGAATAAATGTATATATTTATCACTACTAAACGGGGCAAGAATAGCTTGAGATAACCTCCTCCCTTGGTATGTATTTATACCTCAATAAACTTATTTTAATCTCAATTCAACCTGGAATCTAGTGCCCCTCACCTTGGGGTGCGGTAGGGCTGGATTAGGTGAGGAGCAGGAAGGTCACAGGTGCGCCTGGCTGGCCAGGTAACATCATCACACACGTGGTCATTATAGCCAGACTATAATGTTCTACATATATATGTGACTCTCAATGTCATCATCCACGCGTGTCTGCGTACATGTGGAAGTTCGGAAGTTCGGAAGTTCGGAAGTTCGGGAAGTTCGCTTGGTAAACGAGTTCATTGCCATAGACTCGTGAGATTTGCTGAA